CCTATATTTTCTCATAACGTTTTTGTACTTTCAACTTTTACATTGTTTTTGATCCCTTTTGTTTAATGATTTTAAATGGTATTATAATTTTAATTATTATTTTTCAAGTAGGCTCCGTGGTAGGCTTGGAGCCCAATGTGGGGTTTGAACTCATGGCCCTGAGATCAAGACCTGGGCTGAGGTCAAGAGTCAGACGCTAACCGACTGAGCACCCGGCACCCCTTGGTGGTATTTTTAAAAGGCAGGGGATGTATTTTTTTTTTTAAATAATGATTTCATAAAGACAGAAGAGGTTTGGAGATGTTCCTCATTAGAAGCTAAAGAGACGTGACAACCGAGTGCAAACCCTGGTGCTCAGTGGGCGGGACGTGAGGGGGAAGCGGTCAGGCTGTCGTCGGGGCAGTGGACAAGTGGAGGAGGAGCACGGATGAAGCGGCCGGGCCGGCGCTGGGCCGCCCGGTGTCGCCGTGCCCCGAGCGTGTGGAGGACTGAGGGGGCAGGACGTATGCCATCCCGCTGGCCCTCGGAGCGTGTGAGCAGGACCCCACACAGGCGAGGAGGTGGACGGAGCAAGACATTAGCAGGTGCATCTGACGGAAGGTAAACGTGTTCTTCGTACTCTCCGTTCTTGTGAATCTCCTGCGATGTTGACACGACCTTCAGGGAAACTTTCGGAGGAATGATGTGCGGGACGTATCAAGTCCACACATGGCTCGGAGTGGGAGGGCGAGAGCGTCGTGAGGACCGCTGGCACGGAGCAGACTGCGGGACGCCCCGGGGACGCTCCGCAGGGCCCTGCCAACTCCAGCCGTGTGTCCCCCCGCAGGACGTTGCCGCCCGCAGCTCGTGTCCCTGTCACAGGCCCACGTGGCTGGGGTGTGAGGCCGCCCAGGCAGCAGGAGGGAGGCGTCTGTGGAGCACATGCCCTGGACGGGACGGGACCAGAAGGGCTTCACCCAGTGCTCCAGGTCCCCGGACTCCAGCCCACGGAGCAACTCGCCCGTCCCATCGAGGCTGTCAGGCCGCCGCCCAGCTCCCCAGGGACCCAGAGGGGCCTCCCCAGAAGCCGAGGACGTGAGACAAAGGACGGACTAGAGATGAGAGTGCTGACTTAGCCCGTGGCTGCGGCAGCGGCCCTCCCACCCCACGGCCCGTGTCGGTGTCCTGACGCGCCCGCGCCGCGCTGTCAGGGCTCGAGAATCTGAAGCCGTCCTCAGAGTAATGCTGTCGGTTACGGGAGAAAGCCCGGAGGTCTGAAGGCAGGGGTTCGCGGGGCCCGGCCCACAGCCGCGGCCCAGTGGCCCCTGGACGCAACAGGAAGAAAAGGACCGCGGGCTCCTTCCCACCCGAGGAAAGGCGAGAAAACCCACTCCTCGGGATCCGGAGGGCAGATGTTGGGGCAAGGGCACCTGAAGCCAGTAGTGTTCCAGGGCGTTTCCTTGGACGGGGTGGTGGTAGGTGAGCTCGCTCCCCTGTTCTGCCTGCTCGTTTTGGATTTGGGGCTCCTGGTTTGGGGCTCCCAGGACACTGGCCACTGCAGGCTTTGGGGGCTGCCCGCGTGTCACCCGCAGCTACGACGGGGGCACCTCCCTCACCAGCAGCAGGGCTTAGTGCCATCTGTGGCTCTGCGCCTGCTCGGGATGTGACCGTGATGTCCCTATGTGTCGGCTTTCCTCGGGCCTCTCCCCACCGCCTGACGCACTTCGCCAGGCGCACAGGACACGGGGCGCGGAGGAGATGGCAGTGCGGCGCCTGCAGCAGCGACCACCCCCATCTCTAGGGATTTCCGCTCTGTCTTCTGGAACTTCAGAAACGTATGCAGATGCGCTTACTGCATTGCATTCAGTCCTTCAGATGCATCAGACTATATCGGAAGAAGATGCCGTTCAGACGTTTAAGTGAAAGACCCGCCGGGTTGTAGAGGCGCATCCGTGACACACAGGGCCGCCCCTTTACACGGCGACCACTCGGAGTCCTGTCTCCTCTACTGACGGTGGCGCCGGCGCTGCATCTACTGTAGCAGAGCGGCTAGTGGGGGCCAAGGTGCCAGTGGTGCCCCCCCGTCCAGGCCACGGGCACCCATGGGGTGGCCAGGTCTCTCCAGGACGCTCCTGCATTGGGTTTGTGATCCATGATCCTGAGTGTCGGCTCCTGGTGGCATCTGTGGCACATGCCATCCCTGGAGCACATGGTGCACCAGTGGGAGGTGGCCAGCTGTGTCGGGGGACATCGGCAAGCCGGCGTGGCCCAGGAGGGAAGGCGCTCCTCACTCCTCTACCCCGGGCGAGAGCCTGTCCCGCGAGGCCGGGACCCTTTACAGACGGGCCTCTTCCTGCCACGACCCCGTGTCTGCAGCCCCAGGCGTCACCTGGCAGCTGGCGAGGTTGGGCCCAGGACAGAGCGCGGGGTAGGGGTCAGAGGAGGAGTCACACTTCCACACTTCCATTCTTCCTTGCTGTTTCTTTTTTCTTTTTTTTTTTTTTAAGATTTTATTTATTCATGAGAGAGAAAGAGGGAGAGAGAGAGACGCAGGCTCCACGGAGGGACTCCAATGCACGACTCAATCCCGGGACTCCGGGGTCACACCCTGAGCCGAAGGCAGGCGCTCCAACCACTGAGCCCCCCAGGGATCTCCTGTGTCTCCTATTTTCTAGCAAAAACACTTGAAGTGTAGGCAGCAACCTCGGTGGAAAAACATGTTTTCGGATGTCCCGGGTTTGTGCTTGAGTTTCGAGGCATCCGAGCCGGGCAGGGCCCTGGCAGCCAGCTGCGCAGTGAGGTCAGAGGGTGAGCGGAGCAAGGGCCCGGGAAGGGGTCTTGCTGCCCCTGGAGCCAGCTGGGTGGCCGTGGCCCCAAGGGAGCCAGACACAGGGCGGAAGATCCAGGTCCCGGGCCCACAGGGTTCATCGGCCCCTGCGTGCGCCGCGTTACCTGCGTCCTGACGCCACCTCTGTGCCCTTGGAGGACAGGACCGCTTCCACCGCTTCTGAGCCCGCCCTCTGGCAGGGGCCCATGCCAGCTGCACCGGGGGTGTGCAGTCCCCCGCCGCAGCCTCTTAGGCCAGGACAGGGGCACCTTGGCGGTCAGGGCCTCCCGCCCTGATGGGGCCCAGCCTGGGAAGGTCAGAGGCCGAGCGGGGCCTTCCACCTCCGTGCTGCCCTCCCCGCGCACGCCGTGTCACTTCCACGTGTGCACAGTCCTGCATGTGCCGCGTACCCCAGCTCTTTCAGGAGACAGCTTTGCCTGTTTCTTCAAGGAGGCTTTGGTTCAGTTTTCTCCACTTGACCCTCTGGGGGTCAAGTTTCTGGGATGAAGGGCCGTTTCCTGTGGCATTTGCCCCCAGGACCCATCAGGTTTCCTGCAGGACCAGGCCACCCGCATTGGCCTCGTGGCCCCGGCTTTGACCGTCTCTAGCAAACTGCCAACATCCAGAAGCTCAGGCAGGCGCCGGCCACAGGTGTGTCCACGGAGCCGCTGTTGGGACAAGCTCACGGTCCGCCTCCCAGCCGCGCGGCTACAGCAGTGCTCACTCGCGCACCGCATGTCTGAATGTGCAGAACGTGTGCGGCGATGAGGTAGGGGCCACGGGAGCCGTCCGTCCAGCCCACTGGTCCTCAGAGGCCTCACCGCACAATTCTGTGCCACACACCCGGCACTTTATCCGCGGAGGTCAACACCACGAAGCCTCGGGCGTGTCCTAGACCAGCCCTGTGCCACTCAAATCTGGGCTGTTTTCCTGACGAGCCTCATCTCCTGCCGTCGGCACCGAGGTCTTCCCCACGGCCGCCCCAGGGATCCTCGCAGTTACTGACCGTCCAGTCCAAACTTGGAGTAGAAAGTTCTTGCACATCTGGTTCCATCCCCAGGGCTGCTGAAGACCAGGCGTCGGCCCTGTTCCTGCCTTCACCCCCAGGTTCACCCCGGGCCTCCATTCCCGTGCCCAGAGCCGCCCTCCGGTGCCCGCTGCGCCTCTCCCCTGCCCCTTCCATCTTTGGAGCACTTGCTCCTCGGCAGGAGGACCGCTGCGATCGTGCAGAGGGAGGCTCGGGCGTGCTGAGCTTCACCTCTCCACAGGCTCGAAACATGGCCCCTGGCGTCCCTGACTCCCCCCTCCGTACTGTCCTAGCCCTTTCTCATGCTTCATTCTCTTTAAATAAAAACTGCCTTTTAGATGAAGGGACAGCCTCACAGCCTGGTGGCAGTTCGGCAGAGACGCAAAACCAGGCGTTTGAGACAGCTGGGAAGGATTTAGTCAGCTCTGGTTGTGACCACACCAGTGTCATCTGCGGTTCTTTTTTGTCTTTTTTTAAGATTGTATTTATTTATTTGACAGAAAGCAGGGGGAGGGGCAGAGGGAGCAGCAGGTTCCATGCGGGGAGCCCGATGTGGACTCGATCCCAGGACCCCGGGATCACGCCCTGGGCTGAAGGCAGGCGCTGAGCCCCCCTGGGGCCCCCATCCGCGGTTCTTAAGATTAAATCACCATTAAGTATTTTTCCTAACGGAAAATATTTCTTAACGGAAAAAAGTCTTTTCTGAAAGGTTTGCCGTCTGAATTGGCTGAGACGGGGTCTCTTGGGCCTCAGATACACCCAGGCCGGGAGGTGGATTCCCTGCTGCCACAGCCCCAGGCCTGCGAGCTGCGAGCGCTCCAGACCTCCACCCCGGGCCTCCCTCCTGGCCTCTGCAAGTGCTGAGTGGAGGTCTGGTGACTCCGGACACGGAGTCGCTTCCCCGGTGCTGTGCAGGCTGAGTGGATGTTGCCTCTGTGCCTGCGGCCTGACGCGTGTCTCCATCTCCCTGACGGAGCATAGCTGCTCCCTGCTGCTGGACCCCCTTTTCTTTGACTTCTAAATGTCTATGGGTTGGACAGTGTTCACCAGCAGATGTAACATCCCCAGCAACTGCCCAGCCCGGCGTTGACCAGGCGCTGAAGACAGAGGAAGGACACCATGGGCTGGAAAACCCACCTGAGTCGTACCTTCTCTTTTGTGTTGCAGGGTCCGCTTGGTGGAAAGAGGCTCTCCTCACAGCTTGCCCCTGATGGAATCGGGAAAAGTAGGTATTGAGGGAAGAAAGCTATATTTCTGCATAAGGCTCCATCTCTGCATGTGGGCTTTGACTTTTTAAGAAATGTATATTTTATCCAAAAAGTTTTCTCAAGTGTAATAATATATCAGGATGAGATTTGGCACGAGTACAGAAACTCAAAACAGTGTTTGAAACAGGTTAGATTTTTTCTTTCACATTAAAGTATTCCCAAACACCCCAGGGGCCCTGCTGTGTTGCGCTGTGCACGGATTCCACCCCCAAGGCTGCCTCCAGGTCAGAGGTGGCTGTTCCAGCTCTGGCCATCACTCCCGCATCCCAGCAGCAGGAGACGCAGGAAGAGGCAATTACAGGTGCAGACCTCAGGGACAGCTCCAAAGCTGCCTTAGACACACTCAGTACCGCTGGCCAGAATTGGGGCCCACGGTCAAACCGGCCGAAAGGAAGGTTGGAAACACAGCGGTTCTCATGTCTGCGGGCTTCACTAAAAGCCCAGGTACCGGCTGCCGGGACAGCAGACGAAGAGGAGGGTGATCAGGGACAAAGTGCGCCGAGGTCAGGCTTTACCCAAGTTAGGGGGGCAGGACGTGGATTCACACCTCAGCGGAGGCTCCTCTCCCTGAGTTTGGCTCCGGTTGTCCTCTTTGTCCTCCACTGGACGTGATGCTCCTCTGGACCTTTTATCACGTGTGTCTCCATGAGCAACAGCCAGTGTTCTTGGTACCAGGTTGGTACCCATCTGATGGCAGGACACCAGCTGTTGGTGAGACGCAGCGACCAGAGCCAGCACGTCACGCTTCAGACTCCAGGGACAGCCCAGGAGTTCCTACCAGCAGTTTTTTGCCAAATCTCAACCCCATGACATCCGATTAGCAGAACCGACATGAGCTGTGTCCTAAATTTGCAGTACCAGCTTTTGCCACCACATGTGCATGTGCTGTTGGTGACGTTCAGAATGTTTCCAAGCAAACATCCACTAAGGAGATGTTGCTGTGAACACGATAATAAAAGACCCTGGTGTGTGGGGAACCTGGAGGGCGTTTCTGGGAGGAGAGGGGAGCTGGACAGGCCTCCGAGTTGGAGGACACGCTGCAGGCCAGGACCACCAGCCCTCCCTTGCTCCCGCCACGTCCCCCTGCCACGCACACCTTAGCCCTGAGTGCACGCACAGCTCTGGAAATGTGATCCGTGATTTCCTTACTTAATTCACTGCCTTCCTTCCACCTGAACATGTCGTATTCAGGCAGTGTTAAACGTGATTGGAAAATTAATACAAATATCTGAAAATTCCTATTTTGTAAGCATCAAGCTGAGTTATGTTATTTATCCTGTTTTCATTCACATCCCTCATTTTGGGATCATGTCAACATGAGCTCTATCACCGTAGTAATTACAAGAAGATGCAGCGTGTCACATCGTAGTTCCGTCATGCTGTGCTGTGTGTAATTTTGATTTAAAGCCATACTACCTCCTAAACAATTTTAGGAAAGAAAGGCATATGGCGTGAGGGCAGGATCGGGTGGACGGGTGTGGAGCAAGTTTGTCCACTGACCACAACATTCTTTCCACATAGATACTTCCAGGGGTTCGGATCATAATTGCCAACCCAGAAACAAAAGGACCCCTGGGTGACTCCCACCTGGGAGAGGTGAGTGACAGGGCGCCCCCCAGGAGAGGGGACTGACCGGGTGCCCCCTGGGAGAGGGGAGTGACGGGGCACCCCTGAGTGAAGGGAGTGATGGGGTGCCCCCCACGGAGAAGCTAGATGTGGAGCATCCACCTGGGTGAAATGTGGGGTGCTGCCCATGAGGGGAGTAGGGGGTGTCCTCAGAAGTGGAGCCCCTAGACCACACTTCCTGTCCTGGAGACACCAGTAGCCCACTCCTGCGCCCCTCTCAAAGCATGTCCCCATGAGCTGTGGGGCTCGGGAGCAGGTGCGACCCCATCTGGGACCCTAAGGGGCCGGTGAGCTGAGCAAGCAGCCTAGGAAACGGCAGGTGTGGGAAAGTCAGTGGGGCGTTGACCCTTTGGCTTGTTCGTACTTCATACTTGGGAGGAGAGAGCCGCCTGGCCGCCCCCTGCGCCGCCCTCTGCTGCTGGCTGTGTGTGGCTGGAGGAGACACATCCTCATCCCACTGCCCCCCCCATGTCCCCCGCCCCCCCCCCACAGAGGACATCCAGACAGGTGCTGACACACCAGCTGTGGGCTCCTCTGCCCCCCCCCCCGCTGCGTGCACACCTGCTCTCGGCTGACTGCTCATCACAGACCCCACCGCCCCACACACACAGCCCCAACCCGGTGCCCGTGGGGGGGGGGCAGAGGCTACGTGGATTGTTCCATGACCTCACATGATACAGTTAAGGCCGCCCTCGTGCAGCTAAAATGCACAGCCGGCCGCCAGCCCCAGAGCCGGAGAGCAGCCGCGTGTGTCACACCCGGTGAACACATGGCCGTGCTGTGCCGTGGCCGCGGCTTGCCGCCCCCCCTTCCTTCCCGGGCTGTTGCCTGATCCTTCATGGGGATCCCAGCTGCATGTAACGATCAGAACCCAGGTGATAGAATCCCGTACAGGTCCTAGGTAAGAATTTCCTTGGCGTGCAGTGGCCGGTGTGAGCTCGGGGAGGACGGCGGTGCCAGCACCCGGCCAGGGTCCTCCAGCGCTGGGCTCTCTGCGGGCTCCAGCCGGGCGCCACCACCCAGCGTGCTCGTTTTCTGAGCGGGCATGTCCTAATGAGACCAGATGTTCGAGGGCACGGGGCGGCGCTTCGCTCTCTGCTCTAGGGTTTGGTTCATTCCACCAGGATCGGTGCAGTGGCCGCGTGTGCCCGCGGTGCCCGGGGCCATGGGGACTCTGGCGAGGCAGATGGTCTCTCACTTCAGGAACTTGCCCGTTTTTCAGTGTAAATAATGAAAACAGCCAAGTGCAGACGTCTTCACTGTGAATGCCGTGTAGCTTGGAAGAGCTGGCCCCGTTCCCCCTGGGCTTGCAGACTCGGGGTGTCCCGGAGTCGCTCCTCTGGGCTTCCCCCGTGGCTCGGCCCGCACGGCCACCGCTTCCGGTCCACGAATCCTCCTTCCCCGCTTGCCCCAGTGTCACACACTCAGGGTCTCGAATCCCCGTGTCTGCGGTTATGGGCCTTTCCCGCCCGGCCGTCCGGGTGTGTGCTGGGTTTTCCGTTCTGCGGATCCTTCGCGAGCCGGAGCAGGGATGGGGGCGGGGGCGGGGAGCGAGGATCCGCAGCCGACCGCCCCGAGCCGCCAGCCCCCGGGGACGCAGGACCCAGAGGCCAGGACCACCGAGAGTCAGGGGCCCCGACGGTCGAGCCGCGCAGGCGCCGGCCTCCCTGGAAGTAGGCAAACCGTGCGAAAGGGGAAAACAGGCTGTAAAGCTTCTAAACATTTTTCCAAATTGCTTTTTAGAAACAATTGTTGTATTTGAGTAAGTCCGAGCAAGCTAGCGCAAGTCGGCTGCTCTAAGTGCCGCGGGGGGGCGGGGGGGCGGCCCCTGGCCCCCGGCCCCTCCCGCGGCCTCACCGCCCCGCGGCTTCCCGGGCAGATCTGGGTCCACAGCGCCCACAACGCCAGCGGCTACTTCACCATCTACGGAGACGAGTCCCTGCAGTCAGACCACTTCAGCTCCAGGTTGAGTTTCGGAGACACGCAGACCGTGTGGGCGCGGACGGGCTACCTGGGCTTCCTGCGGAGGACGGAGCTCACGGACGCCAACGGAGGTGGGCGGGGCGGGGGGAGGGGGCGGGGGGCGGGGCCCGGAGGGGGGCGGGGCGCGGGGCTCCTGGCAGCGGGAGGGCCGGTGGGCAGGGGGCGTGAGCGTGTGTGAGGGGGCGGGACTAGACACGAGCGTGCGTGTGTGCGCCTGTGGACGCGCGCGCGGGGGCGGAGTCGGGACCCAGTGGTGCTCCTGCTGCTGCACCTGCACCTGCTGCTGCACCTGCACCTGCACCTGCTGCTGCACAGCGGCCCCGCGCAGCGCAGCGCGGCGCGGGGAGGACGGTGTGAGTCCCGCAAGCTGACGCCAGGTGCCGCCGCTCCGCGTTCCCAGGGGGCCGCGCGCCCCAAGGCCGGACCCCCGTCCCCCGCCCCGCGTGCCCCGCCCCGCACCCCGCTCCGCACCCCGCTCCGCACCCCGCTCCGCACCTCGCTCCGCACCTCGCGCCTCGCGCCTGCCTCCGGGAGGAAAGGGAGGCAGCAGGGCGCTCGGGGCGGAGCTGGGGCACCTCTCCCCACGAGGGGCCAGGGCGACAGGAGAGCTGGAGCCCGGGAGGTGGGGCTCAGCTCCGGGGAGGCTCCTGACACCTGCCGCGGGAGCTGCGGGAGCCTGGCCGCGTTGCCCTAGACGTGGTCTCACGTGTACGACGTGGGGAAACCGTGGGCTCCCGGGGGTGCTCTCGGGGTGCTCTCGGGGACTCCCGCGGATCCTGGCGACCCAGGCCCTGGGGGGGGGGGGAGGCGGTTCTGCGGGCGGGGCCGCGCTGCAGCAGGTTCCTCACCCCTCGGGCCCCGAGGCGGGAGAGCCCAGGACGCGGCCAGGAGCCAGCCAGGAGCTGTGCCCGCCGCCCGCGCCCTGGGTCGGGCGGCGTCCGTGCCTGTCCCCGACGGGCCTGCACTCCGGGGGTCGGGCGGCGTCCGGGGCGGCCGTTCGCGAACCTTCTCAGCCCGTCCTTCCCCTGGAGGTGGGAGCTCGCGTGACGTCAGAGGCGACGGGGTGGCGCGGGCCGTGCTGCGCCCCAGCCTGCGCTCCGGGAGGGCGCCCGGGCCCGGGAAGCTCTCTCCCCCGCGCGCCGCCGTGGGCAGGGGTGCTGCGGGCGGCTGCGTCCCCCTCCGGCCATTTCCCGCAGCCCCGGGCTGCACAGCGCCCCGAACAAAGGACCCAGCAGCTCGCACCCAGCAGCCCGCACCCACTTGCCTGCACCCATCTGCCTGCACCCACCTGCCCGCGCCCACCAGCCTCTCCTGGCTTCAGTCACTCTAGAGTTTGAATCTTTGTTGCTAACAAGCGGCGTGAGCACCGTTGTGGTGAGGTTCATGCTCTCTCTGTTTCCCACACAGAGCGCCACGACGCCCTGTACGTGGTGGGCGCCCTAGACGAAGCGATGGAGCTGCGCGGGATGAGGTACCACCCAATAGACATTGAGACCTCGGTCATCAGAGCCCACAAGAGCGTCACGGAATGGTGAGCGGGCGTGGGGATAGCCCCGTGCAGGGGAGCCTCCGCTGTGACCCGGGCCTTGGCCGTCGGGAGGGGCGCTGGCACCGTAACGGCCCCGCCTCAGAAGAGTGAGGCCCGCCAGGCCTGTCCTGCCTTGTGGTGCATGGCCTCTGGGCGCGGGAGGGAAGGGAGGGCAGGGAGGTGGCAGCGACCGAGTCACACAGGGAAGCTCAAGGGTTGGAGGGAAGACTTGCAGCAAGCGGTGCTGGCACAGACGAGGGCCCACAGGGACCCGGGGTTGTCACCCCTCGCGGCTGGCCAGATGGGTGCCGCCCTGGGGCCAGGAGGCACGCTGGGAGAGCGAGGGGGCCCCACAGCACGAGAGGTCAACTTGCTGGTACGCTTGGTCCCAAAGCAGCAGAGACCTGAGGCAGCTGCTCCCCAAGTCCAGGCAGGGACCCCCAGGCAGGCACCTTCCAGAATCCCTCGGGAGCAGCTCTCCGGGCGCAGGCAGGCCCAGGACCGGTCACTGCACCTGGGAGCCGATGGTTGCAGGAGAGTTTGCGTCCCCATGCTCGGCCCTGTGCTCCCGACTCGGCTGCATCCGTCCTCCCCCCAGAGCTGTTGAAGCTGCCCGGCCGCTCGAGGGTGGACAGGAGCCAGGACACCCAGATGTGGCACAGGGCTGCTTTGATTACCCCATAACTAGCCATGCGTACTGATGACAGCCTTCCATGTCTGTATTTTTAAGAAAATAACTTAGAGTCATTTGTACTGCTTCTCTCAAGCACTTTCCATCTGGTTGCAAATGCCGTTTCGACCTTAAAGGTCTGTGGCAGGGGGTCCTGTGGCACCTCGTGGGGATTTGTTGTAAGCGCTGCTGTTGCCACCTGCCACGGGGCCTCACACTCACCTGTGCTCACGTAAGCACCGATTATCAGCTTCTGCTGGGCTCTAATGGGTTGGAAACCTCCCTCTGCCCTCTCCTCGCCCCGCCTGTGTTCCTCCAACCCGGCACCAAGCCAGAAGGCAGACACTCACGTCACTCAACGTGGCTATTGTCACAGTGGCGTTGTCCAGCCGACCAAATCTGTCCCTTTCCCTTCCCCTTCCTCGGACATCAGTGGCCCTGAGGAAGTGATGCTCGTCCAGCCCAGATCTTCCCAGCAAACCCTCTCCATCAAAAACAGAAATCCAACTCCGTGCCTCATATTGTGTCATCCGTGTCAAATGCTGCCATAAGATTTTACCCAGGCGGCTAATCTGTGACATCACAGAGCCCGTGGGGCCCACACATGGGCTTTGCAGAGCGATTACTATAGCGTTCTAAAGAACCTGTCACGGCACAACTCAGACCGTGGCAGAGCTGTTGGCCTAGGCACATGCTCGTCACAGTGACTCCAGAAGCAGAGTCACCTGGTGAACACAGTCTCCGGTATTTCCCTTTCACGTTATGGGTACGTTGCTCATACTAAACAAGATGCGCCTTTGTGTTTTCTGAGCAGACGTACCCTGTGGTTACAGGAGTGAGTTTCCCGACTCCTTGCTCCCCCACAGCCCCTTCTGTGTGACTGGCGGGAGGATGCTGTGGGCCTTGGAGCCCGCCCACCACCTCCCCCTGCGCCCAGGACCCTCTGACCCACTCCTCTGCTGACCTCAGTCTGTCCAGGCCCCTAACCACCCCTGTTTAAAGACCGACCTTATAAAGTGCAGGTGGCTTAGTGTATAAAGCACCAAGCTTCGGCTTCCACGGATTGGCCAGAGCAGATGCTCCAGGCAACTCTCTGAAAGATCCCACATAAAATGCTTGTGGATGAATCCCCGCGGCTCTGGAGGGCCTTCTCCTCACATGGGTCACCGCTTGCTCGTGGCACTCATTCCAGACACAGTCCTTCCGGCAGTAGCCCGTGTCTGCCCCGTGTGTGCAGCAGACCGCCGGCTTGTCCCCTCTGACTGGGACCCACGGTCAGCCAGGCACAGAGCGGGTGGCTCCGCACGTGTCTCCTCCTCCCTCCACGTCCACATCCCTCCACTGCTGTGGCGCAAGGGAGGTCAGGACTAGCCCCAAAGGCCCCGATGCCATCCAGCCTCTGCCAGCCCAGCTGACCAAGGCCAAGGGCAGGACCCAGGCGGCACCGCAGGGATCTCGTGCTCACAGGGTGGCCGCCGTGCGGTGCCCTTCCAGCGCGTGGGCACCAGCGACAGCTGGGAGCAGAGGGCAGGGGAGGCCGGGTCCGGATGCCGTGTGCACCCTGAGAGTGCGCTAGCGACAGGACCACGCAGCAGCTTAGTGAGCTGGAGGCCCCAGGCTCACCGACCAGCACTGTGCGGGCAGATCAGGAAAGAACCAGATAGTACTTGTTGAAGAGAAAACAAAATTGTTAAACAAAAGTCCCTCGGTATAGTGATGATTTTTTCTCTCTTCCAGCGCCGTGTTCACTTGGACAAATTTGTTGGTGGTGGTGGTCGAGCTGGACGGGTCAGAGCAGGAAGCCTTGGACCTCGTCCCCTTGGTGACCAACGTGGTCCTGGAGGAGCATTACCTGGTGGTGGGGGTCGTGGTCGTGGTGGACATAGGCGTCATCCCCATCAACTCCCGGGGGGAGAAGCAGCGCATGCACCTGCGAGATGGGTTTTTGGCAGACCAGCTGGACCCCATCTATGTGGCCTACAACATGTAGTCTTGTCTCTGGCTCCCGTAGACTTTTCTAGGAAAGTAAACGTTTTTCTCAGTGTCACTAAAGTTTGCAGACACGAGGGCAACATTCACCGGAACGGAGCCTCTGTTCTCGCGGCGGTGAGAGTTTCCACAGCGGTCCCGATTGGCATGGGGGTGAAATGTGAAATGTGAATTTACCACTGAAGTTTGCTCAGAAGGACTTTGGATTACTGCCTTCAGTTTGTTGGAAAAACCCATTTCAAAAACTTTTTTTTTTAATTATTGGATAAGAAGTGCTTTCTTCGTAAATGTGGTATTTTGTTAAAGCCAAAATAGCAATTAAAAAAATATTCTGCCCTCCAGATGGGTTCTTTTAAACAATTTATGTAGTGTGACAAAGAATTGTTTTCTCTGTTTAATGTGTCATGAAATCTTAATGACATGGATCTTGTTACTAATTTAAGCCATTGCTAGATCTCATCCTTTTAGGGAAGTTTGTTGAGGTACGAGAAAACCTTCCAAATAGCACCTTCCAATTAGAGTTTAGCAGCTTTCTTTGTCAGAAACGTGCTGGAGAAACAAAGGCTGACATACGGCCTTTGAAGTTAGCATAGAATGAGAAGAAATTATAAATAAGGTGTATTTCGGCAACTATCTTGCAGATATCTTTGTACTAAACTAAAAAGATAAAATAAGTTAACTTCTTCATATGTAATTATGTACAAAACGTTTAATTTATTTTGATCTCTTTAGAAGTATAAAAGAAAAAACATTCAAGAACATTAAAGTCTTGTAATGTTTGCTAATATAAAAAAAGTGTTGTATTATCTTGCGTGGATAGTATCACAACAAATATATATATATGAAATATAAATTCACTAATGAACAAAGGAGATTTTAAAGTTTAAAATGCAGAACCTGTCACTTGCATGGTGTCCCCTCCACTGTACTGTAGATAAAGACAGATTCTCTCACACCCACTTTGTGATGTGAGCAGTCCCAGATCGCCGGTGCCCGGTCTAAATGTTTCTTCTAGAACCAGAGACCAGCAAGTGAAATTATCACCATCTCCGAGATGGGGAAGGAATGTGAGGCTACATGTGCACTATGTTCCCTTGGCTGCGGGGCAACGAGGGACGGTCGGCGCCGGCGCGTGCCCACTGCGCTGAGCAGGCATTAGGGAAGGCAGGTGGCAAGGAGCGCTGTCCTCTTAGCTGCAGGAATTCCTTGTTCTTATCATTTTTGTTAGCGTCCCCCATTCCGGTCCTTGGTATGGAAAGGAATGCTCTTCTGTGGTCGTTTGTGCCGGGTCGTGCGGATTCCCCTCCGACGGCCGCTGTGTGGAGTGGACAGACTGTCCAGAACAGCTTTAAGGGAAAAGACTCCCGTGGAGACCGTCACCCTGGCCAGCGCTCCGGGCTCCCCAGCCTGGCGAGAGCGGGACCCGCAGGGGACCCGCAGGAGCGGCCCCAGGACTCCCCACAGAGCCACCGGCTGGAGCGAGAGAGCCTCCCAGCTGCCTTCACTTCCCACCTGTGGATAACACGTGTCTGATTTCCGTCTCTCGCTGCTGCGGCCGCCCCACACACCTTCCAGTTTCCACGTCTCCTCCGTACACTCCTCGATCCGATTGGGCCATCTGTGTCCAGCCAAGAAGAGGTGTCCGCTGCCCGGGCGGGATTGATGCCGTAACTGCCCCACCATGACCCTGCCGTGGCTCTCGTTGCTAGAAATGCATGACCAAGATCGTTGCTGGGCAAACTTTAGAGTCTCTTTTCATTACGTTGTAGGCGATGTCTTCACCTGCCTTTGCTGTATGCGCCAGCAGTAAGCCCTTTGCTAAAAGAGAGTTTTGTTTGACTTCCGAGATCCAAGGCTAATTGTTTTTTAAAAATTTTAAGTCTCATTTCTTTTCAATTTGTCTGCATGTGAGGTGCATCCTTCCATCTCCACAAATTATTTGATTTTTAAAATACCGTTTGACTTCATTGCCATGTGTGACTATTTCTCTACACGCTTCAGATACACATTCCTACAGTCTTCTGCTTCCCAAGGGGGGAGAAAACCCCACCACGCACAGGAAAAAGACCCTGTCCTACACACACCCACTTTGTGTAAGGGGAAGGGGGTTTCGGGTGGGATACTGATGACAACCCACGACTGCAGGGTAGCTTGTGAGGTCTAGCTGATGTCGGGAGCAAACCAGTCAGGTATCCCTTCCGCTCCGACCGTCACCTTCCCCACATCAGCTTCACGTGCAAGACGGTGCGGTTGTGAACGCGTTAGCGACGTCCTGTCCTCTCTCGTGTTAGAGCTGAGGTCCAAAGGGTTGGGGGCTGGGACCGAAGGTCGGTTGTGCAAGGAAAAGGAGAGGAAACCCGTTTCAGCAATAAAGAAGGATCGTTCCGTATTAGGAGTTGTGCTGTAGGTAAATCATTCATGACAATGTAACAATGTTTGTCTTGTGACCTTGTGCTTTGAAGTCAGACAAAACCGTGTGATCAGCTTGCACAAGGAAGGGTACACGACGGACATTGGAACACAGACCTAACCCAACAGGGCGGCTTCCTCATGGTGCTTGTTTATTATATATATTTAATCCTGCTTGACACTTTACCCAAGGGAAACTGCCCCTTTTATCAGTTGAATGTTAGCAGCGTTATTTCATAGAGTGTGGTGACTGGTTAGAGAAATTCATGTACTCAACCAATCACGGTTTCAAACAAAATTTTTATGTGCAAAGGACGGCAACCTTCTCGTATGTTAAACCACCAGTAAGCTTTGTACATCTGTGATAACGCCTGTTTTATATTCAAATGAACAAATAAAAGCTTTTATTTTTGTTGCTCTGAAAATAGCAGTTTCTTAATTGCTCCCCTGGAAAACTGTCTGGGACAGCTTCAATCCCAGGAAGGAAGTGACTCCTGCAGGGAAATGGGAAATGTATCTGACTCTGTTTACATAATTTGTTGCATTACTTATTAGTACAGATGATCATACTTTGAACAATGTTTAAATTTTGATGTGGGCATTTATTGCTTAAAAAATTCCTATGGCAACAAATGTTTTGTGAAATGTTTTTTTTAATTCTTTTAAATATATCTAAATATATTTGTTCACATTTGCTGCAAGTGTACAGATTCTTGGTAAATTTGCGGGAAAAAGAGTAAGCATGAGTCCTGTGTGCAAATACTTTGTCAGGTGTGACCGGGCACCTCTGCATCGCAGGAGGTAGGCCCAGGGGCTACGCCAGCCCCGATGGTCCCTGCTCCGTGGACCACGAAAGCTCAGTCTTTTGCCCAAGATCTGAGCATTTCTTAAAAGGTTTGTCTCTTGGAAGGTGGAGCGGGCGAACCGACCTTCAGCCTAATGGTATCAGAGGAAGTTGTGGACACATGAGAACCAGCAGCGCCCAAACCTGCACCCAGGTCACGGGACTTAGCCTGCGGGTCACAGGCCCCGGAGCACCTCGACCCCAGGGCCGGGCGTCACCGGCATCAGTTTGGTGGCAGCTCTGTCATGTCCCTGTGTGGTCCTCTCCCCTATGGCGTCCTGGGCGCCCAGGTGTGGGCGGTCCGTGCACCTGCCGAGGGGAGACACACACACACACACACACACACACCCCGCACACAGTGTGGCAGGTGGCAAGGACAGCAGCCTTCGCAGCGCCACTGGGTTGGGTTCCAGGGTTTGGGGCCCCGACTTCCCAGAGCTCCGGGCGGCTGATGGGGTGGCGTCCCCAGGAGGCAGGGCTCCAGGTGGTCGGTTGTCCATCCTCAGGGCACAGGTGACCCCCGGGTAAGGAGCCCGAGACTGCGGGGGGGGCGCGAGTGACCCTCGGGGAAGGAGCCCGAGGCTGCGGGGGGCGAGGGGGCAGGTGACCCCCGGGGAAGGAGCCCAAGGCCGGTGGGGGCGCAGGTGACCCCTGGGGAAGGAGCCGGAGCCCGAGGCTGCGGGGAGGGCAGGTGACCCCCGGGGAAGGAGCCCAAGGCCGCAGGGTGGCAGGTGACCCCCGGTGCCCCACGGAGCGGCCCTCACCCGGTGTGCGTCAGGGTGATGCCTGTGGCCGCGAAGCGTGTGGAAACACCGAGGATGCGGCTTATGTCCTGGATACGAGGATGCCAGGGCCCCGCAGCCGGACGTGTCACCGCCAGGACGGGGGGTCGGGGCCCGGGTGCCCCCGCCGCAGGACTGAGAAGGTAAAGTATGAGCGCAGGAAAGCGGGAGGGTAGGAGCGGACGTGTACTTGCCAGACAGCAGCTTGTCAGGAGGACCGGCCGTGACGGGAGTGGGAAGTGGGGGGCACCAGGGGGACCCCACCTCCCCTCGGGGCGGCTCTGCAGGGACCCGAGATCCCCCGGTGATGGTGATGGGCACACGGTGAGCTGTGGAGCCCCGGCACCATGTCCCCCGCCCCGTAGGGACACTTCCGCGGCATCCCCTCCGCAGGCCCCGCCGATAGCCTGTGAGACCCGGCTGACCAGGGCCTGGCGGCCTCGGTGAGGCGGTCACAGGCCGAGAGAACGAGCCTCGGGCGTGTGTGCTCCGCTCCTGGCGCAAAACACGCAGGGACTTCCCGGAACACACTGTCCCTCGGGGTGCTGCCACTGTGGAGCCGGCGCCCGGGCGGGGACGCTGGGCTCTGCGGCTCACTGACCAGCTGGCCCTCCGGTTCCACTGACAGGGAGGGAGGCTGGGCCGCCAACACTGCGCTCTCGAGGCTGTGGCTCCGAGGACGAGCTGCCTGGCACCCACGGGCTTTGGTCTGTGCCCAGAAGTGTCACAGATCTCGCGTGGGCGCCTGTGCCCGCGAGGCCCGAAGCCAGTGAGGACGGCCACGTGTGGCCATGGCCCAGCTGGGCTTGCGCCGAGCGGTGCGGACGCAGCCGGGGTTCGGAGGGCCGACGGCGCATGGCAGGGGCTCCGCAGGCCAGGTGCCAACGACCCGCCCCGCGCTCGGCCGGGGCACCAGGCAGCCATGGGGCTGAGCGGGGCTGCCGTGCACCCACTGCGCATAGGGCCCCGAGAGCTGGATCTGGCGTAATTGCCTCATCACAAAACACAACTCTATCGGCCTTTCCGGCTGTTAGGGGCGAGCGAGCTGCTTCGCCTCCGGGTTCGACCCGGTGCGGCAACCCGATGGGCCCAGGACGTTGGCTGGTTTGTGACCTAAGGTCCAAGGCCTAAGGCCGACTCCTCAGAGCCAGGCTCAGAGTCTGATCTCTCCCGCAACAGAAGGCGGAGTCCGCGTCTGGTCACCGAAAAGTTTAATCTTCCAGACCGCGTGGCGCTCACTTACCAGCAAGTACCTGCGCGCCGGCATTTGTGGCCGTGGGGTGGCAGGGGAGCCCGCGTCTGCGCG